GAGATTCCCTCAAAACCCTCTGACAGAGACCACTCGAAGATCCTCAACTACAAAATGTGCTGTGGCACTCACGAGGGCAGAAAGTTGTCCAATTTAGACTTCTTCGGCGTGATTTATTAACACTTTGTCTGAGAGACTTATCAACTCACACCAGCGTGTTATCTCAAGAGCGAGATGGCAGCACCGATAAATTAAAAATCAATTTTTTTATTAGAAACTATTTTGAAGCATTAGAGGGAATGTGATTGCCAAGCCATCTTCCATGTTTTAACAGGAAACCTCTGCAATCGTCCCCTTACTGTCCTAAGAATGCACGGATGCTCTTTTTGGGAACAGATAGCAATGACCCCCAGAATCATTAGACCTGCCTGACAAGAGCTGTAAAACACTCGACTTCACACTGAGAATTTTCCCCCCATGGGTTAGTCAGGAAATAGTGCCTGGTCACTGCAAAACTCAGTAAGAAACAAAAGCAGAGTTAAATTCCTTTTCTTTGAACACACACACACACACACACACACAGAGAGAGAGAGAGAGAGAGAGAGAGAGGGAGAGAGAGACTCGTAAAAGCAGAAAAATAAAGGATCCAGTTGCTTTCCAGTCATGTTGCTTCCCGGTTTTACTAGAGAGCAAAGTTTGTTAAAGTTTTGTTAATGACGAACACAGTAACCCGTTCTGGTCTGCAACAGGCTGAGTGAACAGTGAAAACACTGCAATAATAAAACAACTGTTTTATTGACTTTTCCTTCGTGCTCCCCTTTGGGGAGTAGGTGTCAGTGAAATTCCCTGTGATAAACGTAACAGAATCTAAACTCCTATGTGTGGGGGGAAACTGATGCCAATGGTGAAATGGTAAAGTGCCGATTACCACCAGGAACCAACACACAGACACAGTCAACAAATGCATTGGCAACACCTTCCTAAGCACAGCCCCATCAGCCTCATGATCCCTAAGTCATACTGCTTGAAAGGCCCCAGGTCTGCCGCACAGTCCCCACATCCAAGTCTGTCTCATCCTTTCTTAGGTTGACAGACTTTCTTAAGTTATACTGCTTAGGGTTCTGATGAAGACAGTGCCTGGTACAGCTTAAAAGACAGCTGGGCCATTCTTTTAAACATGGCCTTGGGCTTTATTATTAATGAAAGAACTTTTGTGAAAGAGCCATCACCAGCAGTTGAGTTGCACTTTAAATCTCAAAATGAAAATTACTTCGTTAAACCAAGAAACAGGTGCCTTTATTTTGAATAATAATTTTAAACCAGTCCCCTCAAATATGATACAGGCTTAACATCCTTTGGCTGGGTGATACCTCCTCAAGTTACTTCAGAACTTCTCTGTGGCATGTAGACAGGACTTCACCTCTGTAGGACATAACAGTTTTTTATGTATATGTATGAGGTAGCCCACTAAACATAAATATCCTCTCTCTCTCTCTCTCTCTATCTCTGTCTCTCTCTCTTACTTTTTGAGGCCCAGTTGGAAATGACTGCAGAATTTTAAATCAGAAACCTAAGTCTAAGGTTAGTAGTGTCAGGTTAAAGGCTCGTCCATCTCCAAAGCTAATTCGGTTCTGAACAGTCCCAGGGGTGTCTGGCTGAACAGAAGGAGCTAGGAAACCCTAGCAGACCAGAGCCCAGCCTGGGGAATTGCTCGCACTCCATGCCAGGAGCCAAGACTCACCCCAGACTTGGTATCAGATAATACCAAGTGCTCGCCTGGATTTCCAGGACTAATCCACTCTAGGGTGAGCTGTCCAGGTTCCCCGGTGTATGTACTGTCCAGTGGGAAGACAGTGGGCTTTGCAGGGCCAGACTGTTCCTGGAGAGTATTGTTTAGTGTGAGAAAGAGACTCCACTCACAGAAAACATCTGTCTGTGGCAACAGTGTGTGCTCTAAAACTCCTTGGCCCCATTGCTGGGGCTGCAAAGGCAAAGAGTGCTGGCGGGGGGGGGGGGGGGGGGGGGGGTGCGGACCGGCCCTCCAGAAGAAGGGGGGAGGGAGGGGGGGGGGGGGGGGGGGGGGGGCGGGTTAGAGCATCTCAACTGTCCTACAAATTCAGACAGTGTGTGTGTGTGTGTGTGTGCGCGCGCGCGCTCGAGCTCCTCACACTTCCTAAGTGTTCACAGGCTCTATCAATTCTTAAATCAACACATCAATAACTTCTGCTTTAATAACTTCTGCATTTACTCAAAAGAGTTTTTTGGCTTTAAAAGTAATTTAAATTTCCCCAGTTCATTCATTTAATCACTTCCTTGCTCCACCTACATGACAGATCACTCTTTTGGGGGCGGGGCGGGGGCAAGCAAGTTTTAGATCTGTCTCTACATAACTTCTTAAAACTCCAACATGACTTCAAGCAGGCACCTCTAATCCCCAGACTCAACTGTATTTTAACCTTGATAGAGCACAGTCTTGCCAGGGAAGGAGCCTTTTGCTCACACACGACTAATAGCTCAATATTGAAAACTAGGCTAGTGTAGATCTGCCACTACAGCCTGTGCTAAGTGGACAATAACATTCATTTTTACGCGAGTTGGCGCGCCTTTCATGTGTATCATTTTCTAGTTCCTGGGACCCTCACTGGGTTCTAAGCTAGCCCTAGGTGACTGAAACTGACTTGCAAAATACACCATTTGCCCAGCAATCGCTTGGTCAAAATGTAAATTGCTTATAAAACGTGCAAACCCCGCTTAGAAAAGGCAACACACATGAACAGACACACGAAAAAAAATCCACTCAATGCAAAATTAGGTGGAAACGCTTTACACATTAAGGCTTCCCTAAAGAAGGAGAGGGGGAGGGGCGAGGGCAGGCCGGTTTACTGTGCTTCCAAAAGCGAACTGCTTCTTACTTAGGTGAAAGTGGCTTTAACGTGACTGCGAGAGGGGGGCGATTTTTTTTCTTTTTTTAAGCGGGCAGATAACCGCACTCCATCGCCGAGCGAGGAGGGAGCCCACTCTCGAGATAAAACTTCATCCACAGGCAGCACCCGCGGGAGAGGCCCACCAGACACCGGAGCTAAAATGGAGCCCGAGTTTCCTCCCAGACGGAGGGCAGCGGCGGGAGGTCAGGGTCAAGGTCACCGGCAGGGCAGGCTGCAGCTGCCGGCGGCCGCGCGGGAGGGCGGCGTCGCGGCGTCCCCCGCCCCCCGGCCCCGCCAGCGTGTCTTTTCTCCGCGAGGGGGAGAAGAAAGGAGCCTGACCGCGTAACCCCGCCGCCCCGGCTTTCGCGCTCCCAAAGTTGCCATCTAAGGGCAACTTCTCCGGGAGCCCCGGGGCCCGCGCGGCGCGAGCCGAGGCCCCCGCGGCGGGCCCGGGACCCACGCGCGACGGCCGGCCATGGGCACGCTCGCTCCCACCGGCCGCCGCGACTTTTCCGTGAGCCGCCGAGCCTCCCGCCCCGGCCGCCGCCGCCGCCGCCGCCTCGCACAGAATCCCTGCCCTCGCGGCCGCCCGCGAGCGATTTTATGTGCATATATATCGCAGATGTGATGCTACCCTCAGAACCTCTAGCGGGCGGGCGAGGGAAGGACTGCACGGGGGCTTTTTCCCTAAAGCCAGGGAGAGGGAAAAGCCCAGGCGAGCCCTGCGCGTCGGCTCCCGGGTGCCGGGAAGGGGAAGAAAGAGGAAGGTTCGCCCGCTCCGCCCGGCCCGGGTGCCAACCGCGGGGCCCCGGCGTGGGGAGAGCGGCCGTCCGCGGCGGAAGGGCTCCCGCTCGCGCGGCGCCGAGCACCATAGCCTTCCCCTTCCCCCACCCTCCGTGAACTTCAGGTGACCGACCACGTCGGCCTGACACCGCCGGGCGGGCGGGCGCCCCGCTCCGCTCCCGCCCCCGGCCCGGCCCGGCGCCCCGCGCAGCGCCCGACCCCGTCCCCCCTCCCCGCGCGGCCCTCCCCCCTCCCCGCCCCACGCCGTCGCCCCTGCCCCCTCCCCGGCGCCCGCGGAGCCCCGCGGCCCCGGGGGATATTTTTAGTTGCTCCTTTCTCCTTCACTTTTAGCTCCGGCGGCATCTCGGAACGCTCGGGACGCGGGGCGCCCGTGGGGGACGCGGGGGGGAGCCCGAGCGAGCGGGAGTGGGGGAAAAGTTAGGAGTCTCGCAAAGAGACGCGGGAGGGCGGCGCGGCGGGGCCCGGGGCGCGGGCGGGGGCGGGGGCCGCGGCCGCGCTCGGGCCGGCG